AGTGTAAGTCCGAGTACTTCAGCAAATCGCGGGATCAGCTATTTTGGCCAAATTTAGCTTCATTTGCTATCCTGCTTTCACCCTGGCGTCCTGCACCGATTTAATTTTCGTCTTTGGAGTACTTCTGATGACATTCAAAAGAGCACGATACAGTCCACAATTTTTGACTGATGCCTTTCTATTTTCAGCACCTCACTTCCCAGCGGAGTGTCTTGAAAACCTCTTCCTCGCCTGCTGTGAAGAGCTTATGTGATATCGTATCAGCCTTTTCGATTTTGAACTCGTTTATTACGTTCTTGAAAATCACAGCGTTACCGTCTCTCGATTGCCTGGAGTCTTACCGAATCTAACTCGTTGTTGGCTCACCGATTACTTACTAAATGCAAAGCATTTTCAAAATTGACTAATCGCAGACACAGTGATGATATAAAGGAACTAATAAAAGTTACCTGTCTGAATCATCTCCTTTCTGCCGCCTGAACATAATCGATTGTACTGTACGTATCTCCTCTGGTTTTGTACAGTCCAGTCTTTCCCAAAGTCTGTTGGTTTGAACTACCGTGACAATTTTGTGGATGATTTGGCAGCAAAATCATCTGGAAGTAGTTTTTCTCTGTCAGTTCTTCATTTGTCGATCCCACGAGTATCACTGTCACTCCGTATTTGCCAGGCGAACTTCCTCGTTTCGCTTGTTTTGTTGCATGTCCCAGTCGTCTGACAGAATATTTGGAATTTTCTCAACTTCATTTGTATCCACAGGTTCTTTAGAAACACATAGCGTGTTATATGAAAGTCTTCCACTAAGTTAAGGAGCAGAGGACAATTCTGTCTTCTGTCTGAGAGCAAAATTTTGTCGTTTCTCCACCATCAATCTTTAGTTTGTTCATACTTTGGCGGGTTTAACGGCTTCCTCTACCAACCTGCAACTGGAATCAGTTTTAGCCCTTACTTTAACGCTTCCCGAAGATCAACGTATTGTAGCGATAACTTCTGATTTGTTGTCTTCACTTATCTTGTTTCTTTCATGAGGTGTCTGTGATTTTTTGTTGTACCTTCGTTGTCCTTTTTTCCACGTATCCATTACCCAATTCCGTAGCCATGGGCGTTTGCCTCAACTGTGGTAAAATACACGTTTCACGTGTTGAACTGCCGTTTGATGATATGATAATAAATAATGAAGACTGCTGCTCATGTGAAACGGAAATTTTACATGTGCAACATGGAGATATAAGTGCGGTTATGATAGACGCATATGGCTACAGAAATGAGTGGTCGACACACATATCGTAGATGAAAGCAATTTGATACGCTGATCCAAATTTCTGATTTTATCAGGACAGTTTAAAGTGAGGCCGTTAAACAGGCAGCTAACTAAAGGCTAACCACTAACACGTAACACCGCATGCAGCTCACCACAATGAGACACAACGCGGCCCTAAATTTTGCAACAGATTTATCAGTGGTGGCGCACTGTTCCAGCAATAAATAATTATGTAAATGATATAAATATTAATTTTAATTTATAATCAGTATCAGGATTCTTTTAAAATTTCATTTGAGAAAACATCTACTACGATAACCGTTAAAACCTCATTTCATCGTCTTAGTTATGTAATCAATGAGGCTGAA